ACATCAACATTTTATACTTTCAAGTGATTGTGGGCAAAAAAAAAAAAAAAAAAAAATCAAAGTTGGAGTACTGAAATAGAAGAACATAATAATTGGGTGCTGAAATGAAAAAAAATAAAAAATAAAAAATGGATACCAAAATTACATTTTGCTCTTCAATATATTACTTTATTGTGAAATACTAAATTAATGGACTAAAACCTTCATATTTGATTGTAGAAGAAAATTTACATCATGCAACATATATATTATAAGCTAATTTTTTTTATGTCATCATATTTTTGAATTTCTTAGTGATATTTAAATGATTGTACAACAATTTAATTATTTTACTATTGCATAAAATTTTTATTTTGATATAATGAGTTTATTATTTTCTATTTTATTTTGAAAATTTAATCAAATTAAAAGTTAGGAACACACATGAATAAAAAGTGCATCGAGCAAATCAATTTTAAAAATATATTATCAATTAAGAAATTTTTTTGCGGAATTTTAACCCCTTCTACAATGAGGTTTAAATTATGAAGGTGACATACTTTAAAGGAGGTTTAAATGCATTTTTTGCCCTTGAATTATTAGGGTTTTGGCAAATTGAGATTTATGCTATTAATTTAGTAATTTTAGTTGATATTTTTAACTAAAAATTTTCATAGAAGGTAATTAAAATTCAATCTACAATCATAAATAATTTCAATTTTTTTTTAAAAAAATTGGAAGTTTACTTTTATTTTTTGGACAATAAAAATTCAATAAATTATAAAAAATATAGAATAAGCCAGAATTATTATTTTTTTTAAAAAAAATTAGAAGCTCTAAGGAGGTTATATGATTTACACAGATAAATTTAGTGTAGCTCTCAAATATTTTATATAGGTTGTTCTCAAAATTAACCTATTTCAAGTTTGATTTGGTGTTACGCGCTCGGCTATACAAATATTATGAGAACATATTAAGACAAGTAGATAAATTATGTGATTTTTTTTTATACCTCCCATTAAAATTAAGGATCGTTCCAAATTATTTTCTATTTTTTCAATTTTATCAACCATTAATTTTTTTTAAAAAATGATTCTTGACCTAAAAGTTTTTGTAAATTATTTGAAAAGCAATTTGAATTTTTTTAGCTTATTTGAAAAATCTCTATTCAAAATTAAATATTAAGAATTGAAAATTTTAAATGGGTTTTTAGGTCAATGACAGCGGTAAAATCAGACGAGAAACAATATTTACTTAAAGTACGATAATTCAAGGATAAAATTTAACGAAATTTATATTATAAACTTCAATACGGCAGCTGGAGTTGGAAATCATATCGACTGTTGATGCTGTGAATGGAAGTGGCTCTTTAAGGCCTTGTGCGTTAAAGCATCCCTGTTATCCACACCAAAGACATGCATCCTCTGAAGGGTCCCTATTATTAAATGTAGTGCCGTCGGCTATGGTTTTGAATCCTGTTTCCGCAAATGTGCAGGGAAGAAAAATAACTGAATTTTCACTTTTGATAAATGTTAGATTAATAATGTGAATCAAATCAACTCACTCAGACGACTTCTTCTTCTTCTCCTTCATCATAAAGAATATACATACCTGAGTAAAAAATTCATATGCAACAATCTCTAAATCAGCCAATGGCAACCTGTCAATTAGGAATCAAAAGTACTATCACTTGGCAAAAGCAAACCTCAACATGTTAAGAGGTTAATATAAATTATATTTTAAGATTTTATTTATTAGTTTAAAACTTTAGATAAGATAAGTTTTTAATATAATATTAAAATTTTATTGATTAAGAGATCTTGAGTAACATGGGTCTGTATATCTTTCAAATATAAATATTACGGCTTTCATTTGATACTTAAGATCTCAAGTGAGATGATAATTTCGATAAAGATGAGAAAACCCAAGTTGGGGGAACTGTTAATGGATCCTTAGTCCGAATGCAATGCCGACAAAGACATGTGGATTTTTCTTATTTTTTTGTTGAATAAGCAAGTGGACGCTTAGTCCAATACTAGGTCGACAAAGGCATGTGCAATTTTCTTACCTTTTGTTGAATCAGCAAGTGGACTCTTTTTATTTATTTATTTATTTATTTTTTAAAGTGGCTAATCCTTCCTGCCAATGCACACTTTCTTTCACAACTTTCAAAACCTTATTTCTCTCTCTGTTACCATATCTCTCTCAATTCTAAAAGAAAACAAGAGAAAATGGCAGCAGAGTTTCTTCTTACGTTTGCCTTGGAGGAGACACTGACAAGGGTGGGTTCCATTGCTGCTGAAGGGATCAGTCTTGCTTGGGGATTAGAGGGGCACTTGCGAAAGCTCCACGAGTCGTTGACCATGATCAAAGCTGTGCTTCAAGATGCAGCCAGAAGGGCAGTAACAGACGAGTCTGTGAGGTTTTGGCTGGAGAAGCTTCAAGACCTAGCTTATGATGCTGAAGATGTTCTAGATGAGTTTGCTTATGAGATTCTTCGCAAAGCCCTAAAGAAGGGAAAGCAGGTACGTGACTTCGTTTGGAAACACAACCCTGTTGCATTCCATTTGAATATGGGTCAAAAAGTTAAGAGGATCAATGGAGCTCTCGATGAAATTCAGAAACTTGCAACTGGCTTTGGGCTTGGAATTGGATCTCTACAACATGTAGATAGAGCTCCTGAAATCCGCTGGGACCGACAGACAGATTCCTCCCTCAACAGCTCAGAATTTGTAATCGGAAGGGCGAATGATGTCTCTAAAGTCATGAAATGGCTAATTAGCTCGACTGATCAACAAGTTCTTTCTGTTGTTCCTATTGTGGGGATGGCAGGTCTTGGAAAGATGACCATAGCTAAAAAAGTTTATGAAGAAGTAAAGGGCAGAAAACTTTTCAATGCAACAATATGGGTTTGTGTTTCTAATGATTTTAATCAAGTTAGGATTTTGGAAGAAATGCTGCAAACTCTTGATAAAACTACCGGTAGGTTAAAAAATCTAAATGCAATTCTTGAAAACCTCAAGAAGGAGCTTGAAAGGAAAACATTTCTTCTGGTACTTGATGATGTGTGGAATGAAGACGATGATGATGATGAGTGGAATAGTTTGAAGGAGCAACTGTTAAAAATCAACGGCAAGAATGGGAATGCGGTTGTTGTTACAACCCGCAGCAAGAAAGTCGGCTATGGTTTTGAATCCTGTTTCCGCAAATGTGCAGGAGAAGAAAAATAACAGAGTTTTCAACTTTGATAAATGTTAGATTAATAATGTGAATCAAATCAACCTTCTTCTTCTTCTCCTTCATCATAAAGAATATACATACCTGAGTAAAAAATTCATATGCAACAATCTCTAAATCAGCCAATGGCAACCTGTCAATTAGGAATCAAAAGTAATATCACTTGGCAAAAGCAAACCTCAATATGTTCGGAGGTTAATATAAATTATATTTTAGGGTTTTACTTATTAGTTTAAATTCTCAAATCCTACCAACTTCAATTCTCACTTAGCAATATCATCTTTTTCTTTGTATCTATACAAGAAATCTCAACTATTCTCAAGCAGAAATAGACTATCAGACAAGAACCCATAAATAAAAAACAAATTCACTTACAGACAGCTTCAAGAATCAAAAATAGAAATTCAAAAGCAAAAAACTTGCACAAATACCCAATTTAATTAGCAAACTCTGAATTCTTTTGAGCTACACCCCAAAATCCCCAATTCCCTAAGCCATAGCTCTGTTCATGGCTCAGATCTGCCCATACAAGAAATCTCAACTATTCTCAAGCAGAAATAGATTAGCAGACAAGAACCCACAAACAGCAAACAAATTTACTTAGAAATGGAAATTCAAAAGCAAAAAACTTAATTTTGAGGTTGTTGGAATAGACCAATCAAATTCTTTCTCACGATCGCTTAACTGGACCAGCACTATCACCAGATTGTGTGGGAGTTTAGTTTGCAATGGCATTTCTGTCATTTCAAGTAAACCTCTAGCCTGATAGTTCCAACTTTAGTTAATGGACTCCTCCTATGTGCCTCATGCTCTGAATGGGATAAAATTTATCATATCATCCTTATCTTAAACGGAGCAAAAGAAAAATAACAATTTTTCAGATGGTATTTTTAAGCTGCCTTGGTCTTCTCTCAACTAATTCATGTTCTCTGGTACTATAAAAATGAAAAATGATAATTGTATCCTTGAGTTGAAATTAAATATTTGTTGACAATTTACAAGATGGAGTGTATATATCCTTCCCAGTAAGTACTATTATCTCGAAACTTTGAAGCTAAGGTAAATGCTCAGTGTTTACAACTATTAGTTTTGAAAGGATTGTTATTTAATAATTTTCTTTTTGTCCTTGTAATCCTTTTAGGTACTTGATTTCAGTTATCCTCTTGTGGAGGTTGATGAAGAAAGTTGATCTTTTACCCCCAAGTGTTAAAGATTTGCAATTTAGTCGGTTCCTCAAAAATGGTGAGGGGCTTAACTTTTGCACTAATAACTGTTTTGTTTTGTTTGGAAATTTTTCCTTCTGGTAATTTAGTTGTAATTAGATTATCATCTATTTACTACTTTGATGCCAAATTTTGGAACAATGGATTTTATCTAACTAGAATCCTGTTTTCTGTAATTTTGATCTTCTTTGTTTTTGGGGTTAGAAGGAGGGACGAGAAGAAAAGGGAAAGCTTGGTTGTAACGTACTGCTTTTTACTAATGGGTTTTTGATTTGGGACATGGGATGGGAAATTGGGTAAGAAATTATAACTTTGATCTTCTGTTTTTTGGGGTTAGAAGAAGGGATAAGAAGAAAAGAGAAGGAAAGCATGAAAGGAGATGAAATGGCAGAATCGGGGCAAAACAAGGAGAGGATGAGAAAAGAAATGAAGAAAAGGATCAAAAAGACAAACGCATAGTAGAATTGAGTCTGCATCCACAGTAACCTTGTGTCTAAATGAACATTCAGTGAATAGTAAACCTCTCACCTGTTTTAGTTTTTTAGGTAATGATGGTAATATTTACTCTCTTGATGTCCCTTTCCGTCCAGTGGATGCACTTACAGCTGCAGTCCTTTTCAATGAGTGTGTCTTTAGAAGGGAATGAGAGATTTTTTGGAACAGAGTATCTCTCTCTCTCTACGAATCTAACATGTCAACATAATATTTGATTCATAAAAGCGTACAGTAGCAAACTCCTGTCTTTTTAAATGTAAATTTATTTTCTCAATTCATATAATTTTTCTTAACGATGGTTTTCTTAATTCAAATACAATGATGAAATTCATGGTTTTGCAAGAAAATTATAAAAAAGAGTTCGTTAGAATGAAAGACGCACTGGAAAGGTTAGTTTATTTAATTTAACTTTTTCATCCAAAGTAATTTTTTAAAAAATATTATGTCAGTGAAGCACTTGAAAGGTTAGTTTATTTAATTTAACTTTTTTATCCAAAGTAATATTTTTGAAGCAAGCCCCCACAGTGAAATATTAGATTTTGAGTTTAAATATGCTGTTGAACAATGTTCATAAGCAAGAAATTGCTCCAGTAGCCAATAGAAAGATGGGCAATGGCCCTGTTTATTTATAGCCCTACATAAGGTCATGTTAGACAACAAGTGCTGTACTATCATGCACTTCCGCTCTTATTTTTGTCTTGAGACTTCAAAGTGCACCACTTCAACGAGATAAAGTATTAAAATCTAGTTAAACGATAACATATGTTTGATACGCCACCATCTGATGAAGATTCTTGGCCAAATTTTAGTAGGGCCCACGACTGAACCAAATCCGCCTTTTCTTCTTCGTTCTCTGTTTTCTGGGGGCTCTCTGCATTCATCCTTTCTCCTTCTATTTCCCTATGCTGTTGCCTTTATTTTGGTTATGCTTGTTGTTTTCCGTGGTTTGGTCTTGCCTTTTACACTTGACCTGATACTTATCTATGCTCTCCCCATGGCTGCCTTTTGGTGTCTAATAAATTTTTGAGCTATCAAAAAAAAAATAAAAAAATAATAATGTCATGCAAATGAAAAAGAAATGGGAGTTGTTGAGCAGCAGTGGATTCAAGACATGCAATTAAGAATTGTTCTCGCATGATCACTACACAATCCAACATTTTTTTTTAATGTGGGGAGTTTAATATAAATTATATCAAGTTCTTTCTGTTGTCTCTATTGTGGGTTGTGGGGATGACAGGTCTTGGAAAGACTACTATAGCAAAAAAAGTTTGTGAAGAAGTAAAGAGCAGAAAACTCTTCGATGCAACAATATGGGTTTGTGTATCTAATAATTTTGATAAAGTTGGGATTTTGCGAGAAATGCTGCAAACTCTTGATAAAACTATCGGTGGGTTAACAAATGTAGACGCAATTCTTGACAACCTTAAGAAGGAGCTTGAAAAGAAAACATTTTTTCTTGTACTTGATGACGTGTGGAATGAAGACCATGATAAGTGGGATAGTTTGAAGAATAAGTGGGGTAGTTTGAAGGAGCAACTGTTAAAAATCAATGACAAGAATGGGAATGCTGTTGTTGTCACAACCCGCAGCAAGCAAGTCGCGGAGACGATGGAGTCTTCTCTTGATTGTCGGCATGAACCTGGGAAGCTATCAGATGATCAATGTTGGTCCATTATCAAGAAGAAAGTGAGTGGAAGCGGAGGAGTGGTGGTAAATTCTGACTTGGAAGCTATTGGAAAGGGGATTGCAAAGAAATGTGGTGGGATACCATTAATTGCTAGTGTTTTAGGAGGAATGTTATGGAAGAAGGAGACACAAGAGTGGCAGTCAATTCTAAATAGTAAAATTTGAGATTCGAAGGATGGAGATAAAGCTTTGCGTGTATTGAAATTAAGTTTTGATTACTTGTCATCGCCATCATCGAAGAAATGTTTTGCATACTGTTCCATTTTTCCTAAAGATTTTGACATTGGAAAGAAAATGCTAATTCAATTGTGGATGAGCCAAGGTTTTCTTGGGCCATCTCATGGGAGGATGGAGGACATTGGTAACAAGTATTTCAATGATTTGCTTGCAAATTCCTTTTTCCATGATGTTCAAAGGAATGGGTATGAGATAGTAACAAGTTGCAAGATGCATGATCTTGTGCATGATCTTGCATTGCTGGTTTCAAAATCAGAATCGTTAATTCTAGAGGCCGGTTCAGCTGTTGATGGTGCATCTCACACTCGTCATCTAAATCTGATTTCCTGTAGGAGTGTTGAATCAGTATTTTCAGCAATTGATGCAAGGAAATTGCACAGTTTTTTCTCAATGATCGATGTATTAAATCAGTCTTTCAAATTCAGAAGCTTGAGAACTCTCAACTTGCGAGGTGCTGATATTTCTGAGTTATCAGATTTAGTTTGCAAGCTGAGACATTTGAGACATCTCGACGTCTCACATACTAAAATCAGAGCATTACCTGAATCCGTCACAAAGCTCTACCATTTGCAAACATTAAGATTCATTGCTTGTTACTCAGTAAAAAAGCTTCCCAAGAAAATGAGAAATTTAGTCAGCTTGAGACATCTTCATTTTAGTTTAGATTTCCAATTGCCAGATGAGGTGAGATTCTTAACGTGCCTTCAAACATTGTCAATTTTTGTTGTGGATTCAGATAGAGGCCATAAAATTGAAGAGTTGGGATTTTTGAATGAACTAAGAGGAAAATTGAAGATTTACGGGCTTGAGCATGTGAGAGACAAAGAAGAAGCTGAGAAGGCAAAACTGCACGAGAAAAGAATGAACAAACTGGTATTTGGTTGGAATTCAAAGATAGGTAGCTGGTGCAATGTTAATGATGAGGATGTGTTGGATGGTCTCCAGCCTCACCCAGACATAAGAAGCTTGAGGATTGAGTATTACATGGGTGAAAATTTCCCATCATGGATGCCTATGTTGCCACTCAATAATTTAATGGAGCTGAAATTGGACTATTGCAGCGAGTGCAGACAACTCCCACACTTGGATGTCTCCCTCACCTTAAAATTCTAGCGATAAGTGGAATGAAAAGTGTGAAATGTATAGGCAATGAGTTTTATGGTAGCAATAGCAGTGCAACAGTACTTTTTCCAGCATTAAAAGAATTCAATCTGGAGGGTATGGATGGCCTTGAAGAATGGATGGTACCAGGAGGAGAAGGTGATCAAGTATTTCCTTGTCTTGAAAAGTTGAGGATGTTGTGGTGTGATAAGTTGAAAAGCATTCCGATAAGTCATCTTTCATCTCTTGTAGAGTTTGATATCTATGGTTGTGATGAAATTTGTTATTTATCTGGAGAATTTCATGGCTTCAAATCTCTTAGATATTTGAGAATAAGGAATTGTTCAAAGGTGGCATCCATTCCAAGCATACAACACTGCACAGCTCTGGTGGAATTGGACATTTATGTCTGCCCGGAGTTGATCTCAATTCCAGGTGATTTTGGAGAATTGCAGTGTCCTCTGGAGAAATTGAGTATTCGTTATTGTGGATTAACAGCTGTTCCAAGTTGGCTACGGTCCTGCACATCTCTTGTTGAATTAGAAATTGTCCACTGTCAGACTTTGACTTATTTCACAGAGGATTGCTTCCGCTGCCTCACCCAATTGAAGACATTGACTATTGGTCGTTTCTCAGAGGAACTGGAGGCTTTTCCTGCAGGAGCTGTGAATTCAATCCAACACTACTTGAGTGGGTCCCTTGAAAGGCTATGGATAGAGGGATGGGGTAAAGTGAAGAGTTTACCACGTCAACTTCAACGACTCACTGCCCTCAAGGAACTGCATATAAATGAATTCAATGGAGAGGAATTTGAGGAAGCTTTGCCAGATTGGTTGGGCAAACCTTTCATCTCTTCAGTATCTTCGTTTCTACCATTCCAAGGATCTAACGTATCTACCAAGTTCAACTGCCATGCAACGCCTCTCCAAATTAGCGAGCTTATGGGTTCATGGTTGTCCTCTTCTTTCGGAAAATTGTAGGAAGGACAACGGCCCTGAGTGGCCCAAGATTTCTCATATCCCAACAATCGATATGGATAAAGAGGTAAAGTTTGAATTAATTTTTGAAATATCTCTCTCAACTCATCTTCTTGTCCCCTCTGCTTCTTCATTTTTCTTTTCTTCCAAAATAGTAATTTAATTTATTTTTCATTTCTTCTTTCTATGCAGGAAATGAATTAAAGAGATAACGGAAATGACTGTTTTACGTGGGACCGATTTTAGTTATATTTTTGAAATTACCATTACATTACAAGTACAAGAAAAACTAAAACAAAATGTTAAAATACCATAGCATTTTTACTGTTTACTCACTGTATACATTTTTTTTTCTCCCTTTTCCCTTGCCTTGCCTATAGCACGGTTTTTTTTTTTTTTTTTTGCTTGAAACCTCTCCTTCGACTTTAAATTAATTTTACATTTTAGTTCCTATTTTGTAGTTTTTTTTTATTTGAATCATTAAAATTTTATTATATTTAATTTTTAATTCTATAATAAATCAGTTTTATTTTTCTCTTATTGCATTTTTTTAAGCTCTTTTTTTTTTAGCTTTTAGGGAATTTTATTTTTATTTTAATTCTTGTTTTGTAATTTTTTTATTGTGGTTATTAAAATTTTATTATATTTCATTTTTATCCTTATAGTAAATATTAAATTTTTATTTTAGGCCTTGTTTTGTAACTTTTTTATTTTGACCATTAAAATTTTATTATATTTAATTTATATTCTATAGTAAATTATTTTTTTCTCTTGTATTTTTGAAGCCCCTCTTTTGGATTTTAGCGAATTTTATTTTTATTTTAGTTCCTGTTTTGTAACCTTTTATTATTTTAGTCATTTAAATTTTATTATATTTGATTTTTTTTCTATAATAAATATTAAAATTTTATCATATTTGATTTTTGTCACTATAATAAATATTTTTTTCTTGGTTTTTAGTAAAGCTCGCTCACAATCTTATTGTTTATAAGTTTTTTTTTTTTTTTAGTGAAAGTTTTTTTTATCATTCTTTTATGATCTTTACTTTGTTTTGATTATTTAATTTTGATAGTGTGTAATTTTATCTCTATTTTGTTTTGTTTTGGCCAAATTCTTGATTTGATAAATTTTTTTGTCTTTTTGTTTTGAGTGGTCTCTTTATCTCATTAATAAATTACAGATGAAGAATTTATGGTAAAAATTAATCATCCAAAATTCAAAAAACTACTACATTATTATTTTAATTATCATTTATTATATATATTTCTAATAAAATACATGTTTATATCAAACAATATCTAATTAGCCACATTATATTACTCAACTTTGCTATAGACTTTTTATTTAGCTAACCTTATGGACAAAATATAAGATATATATTTTGGTTTTTTTTTCTTTTTTTTTTGTGTGATCCTTTTAAATAATTATTTTTAAATTTTGTATTTTATATGAATGAATACATAAGAATGTTATATAACTCACTTCGAATTTTTTTCATATGATCCTTTTACATAATTATTTTTAAATTTTAAATTTTATATGAATGAATATATAAAAATATTGCATAGTTCATTTCGTGATGACATCACGCAGGATATATGCTAGTATCTCTCTATTCATCATCTTGTCTCCTCTGCTTCCATTCACACACGACATGTCATCCGCTCAATTAGTTGGGAAATGGGAAATCACAAAAGGGTTCCTCCACTAGTTTTGAAAACGATTTCTTCTTTTGTCTTTTAGTTGTTCCAAAATGCATATTTCTCATCAAAAAGTTCAAAAATAATTATATCAATCATCTTACGTACTTTGGTTAAAATTAAATTCATATATTTTATTTATTTATTTATATTTAATTTGAAAGAATAATATTGTAAAAACAATAAAAATTATATACAATTGCGTATAATATTTAATATTTTTTTAATTTATAAGAAAATATGAAAATTCAAATATAACTATTTTCATAGAAACAATGGTGTAATTGCTTTCTTTAATTTTTTTTCCCTCTCCCGATAAATTATGCTATTATAGTTTTGTTTTTGGATTAAAAAAAAGAGAGAGAGAGAGAGAGGATGTATGAAATTATGGTTTTTTTTTTCGGTTACACATTTTTTTGCTTAATAGGAATTTAAGTAATTTAATTTATTTTTCTTTTGTTCTTTGTATGCAGGAAATTAATTAAAACCTCTTCCCTTCTCCATCCTTGCTCTTAAAATATCCTCTTCGATGACTGCCAGGTATTCGGCTCTTTCTTTCCTTATTCAATCTTTCCATGATTGTAGAGTATCGTTTTTGGTTTACATCTATTTTGTTGAAAAAATGAGCTTTCTTGATGTTTCAAAGGTATTGGATTGCAATGTTCCAATACACAATGCCAATAACCATGACTAGAAGCGAAGCAAAGTAGGTCTTAGTGTCTTTTCTGATGAAGGTTAGGCTTTTTGCTACCGTAGTGCTTTATTTATCATCCTCCTCTGTAACAAAACAGAAAGGATGCTCTTCCTGATTCTTAGTTACTAAATTTGGGTTGTGGCTGCTCAGCAGATGCACAAGGATGGCAATTACAAACAAGCATTAGAGGATTGAGCCACGTTTTGCTGAGTAACACATGGCAAATGCTTGGAAGATAATCAAGAACGCAGGTTGATCTCAATATTATTTACCATATTATTTTTCCTAGCTTTTCAGTACTACAATATTTTCTGAATTCTTTTATATATGTTATTGATCGTGGCAGAGAAGATTCTGCCTAATGTAAAAAATCAGCATTTGATGCTTTGTATCCCCTTCATAGGAAGCTGTCACAAGCTTCCGAAAGAAGAGCAAGGCAACGAAAGAAGTTCCCAGTAAAATCCTTAAGAAGCTCATCATGTTTTTCCATATCTTCATGGATCTGCAATGCTTATTCCTATTCCTGAGTACACCAGAATCCAGAGAGTCTCTAAACCCAAAGCAATCTATACACGTATCCAACTCTTAACCCTCTATTCACTCATTCAAAAGAAAACGGATAGAAACAGAAGCAAAACCAGATTTCTCAATTCCTTATTTCTCTTTTTAAGACACAAAACATAAACATCTTGCATATTTATGCACTAAAATGGACATTAATTTGACGAGAATTTGACGAACAGTAACAAGAAAACCTTGATTGAGAATTATTTATTCTTAGTTTCCTACTAACTTGGAGTCATTTGGATTAATAAAAGTTGTCCTTAGTAACTTATGGTTGTTAGAATTCGTTAGGTACATTTACTAAAACAATCTTTCCTAACCTGTCTTGTACTGATATCTAATTAACCTGAGAAAAATAATTATAGTTATCTACAAATCTACAAAAGTAAGGTTTGATATTCGAGGTTGTTCTTCGAAACTAAACCAACACTTAGCATTTGGTCAAATTGCTTGAAATTTTTAATGGCATAATTACATAATTCAATGAAATAAGAGAATATGAACCGGATTAATTGATTTAAAACTAATTGAATTGTTGGTGTATTGTGTTTAAGTTTTTTTTTTTTTTATAACTCTCTATTTTCATTCTTCTTAAAATAAATATTTGCTACACAGATTGCAATCGAACAAATGCTTGTGGGTTTTTGGAAGGCTAATATTGACAAAAGTGGATCCATTGTGACTCGTGGTAAGAACTATAGGATATGCCACCTTTTTCTCCACCAAAAGCTGGCATTGGGGGACTCAAAAGGCTTTCACCAGCCTAAAATGCTTCTTGCATCACTTACCTAATTCCATAACCAAATCATGGTACAAGTAAATCGCACCATGTTTGCTAGATGAAGATGACGACTACCTATATATGGTGACAGAATCAATTCAAACTCACTGAAGTTGCAACTAAATCCTTCTCCCTTCACCAACAGTTGCACATCAAGCTGCATCTCAAGTCATTGGCATGGATTCAAGTGGTAATGTCAAATGACTCTAGCGTAGCCACATGAACTTGGTTCAAAAGTGTGTAAAATATTCCACAGAGAAACATGGGATACATGTAATCATTTTCCAGTAAGCATTCATTTTATCATTCTGACAAAGATGTCTTTTAGCATAGAGAATCCGAAGATAAAATGGTTTATTCATATGGAAAAGGAAATGATTTGAATTTGATCATCTACGTACATACGTAGTTGCCGTATCTGACCCTACTGCCCAACTGCAGCCGTAATTGCATAGTCCCAGGAAACATGCCGAGTCAGGATTCATAATCTCTGCATGCGAAGCAAATTTCAAATTTTGGCAAATCTCTTAGTAGATAACGTTTCCAGCACTCATCTGTGGGATGATGATGATTATGATGATGATATGGTATCACTATATTTGTTCCTTGTCTGTCAATGTCATCCCATGTCTCAATATGATCTGCATTTTTCATTATCAGATGAACCCCACACTTTGCTACTCCCATGTTGTCATCATATAGTTCGATAGATAGTTCCAATTCCTCTCCAGCTTCCACGGGACATGAAAGTCCTAGTCAATGTTATATGCTTTATCCAAGAACTTTGGTAAGTGGAATTTGTGATGAATGAAAGCCATACTGATATTTTAAACAATTGAATGGCATTGCTTTTATTTCTTATAATAGCACAACCAGCTGGAAAACTCAATCTTCTATCATCATTGCGTGTGCAGACAGCCCAAACAACCAGCCCCTGGAGTATACCATCTGAAACCGGCGATATGTGAAACGGTAATGAAGGTCCTTCCCCATGATGGTTGAACCAATTAATTTGGAACCTCACCACCAGAGAGGACAATGCCATACTGATCACCCTTGCACAATTCCTATTTGAAGAAAAGCTTATGTTTTAGACCTTAACATATTTAGTACTCAATTGTGTGTATCTGTGCGAAAGAGAGAAGAGATAGAGAGAACCTGAAAAAGGCTGCTCTTGAAACTATATGCTAAATTGTGGCAGTCTGCAAAGAAAATGGCCCAGCTAGTCCTTAAACCTTCCATGCCTTGAATCTCTATTAAATTTTTGCAACCTTCCACAACAATTACGTTTGTTTTGGATGGAATTGGCAGTCTTTCCATTGATGTGCAATTTATTGCGTAAAGTCCATTTAAACTTGGGGGAAGTTCTGGGACTGATAGCAGATTGGTGCATTCATTAACTTGCAAATATTCAAACTTGGAAAGACAGTCAATGCCAGCAGGTAGATTGAAGAATTCGTTTCCAGACAAATTCAATCTTCGAAGAGAGAACAAGCTGCCAAGATTTGTGGAAACTGCATCTTCAGACAAACTGCAATAACTAAGATTTAGCTCTCCCAGCGAGCTTAGACTAGAGAAAGAAGCTGGCAGCAAAGCTTTCGAGCTTGAACTTCTTGGTGAAGGTCAAGATGTGCATGTAGATGGTAAATCCTGTTTGTAACCGTATCCGGACAGTGACAGCTTTACGAGTTTCTTTAGATTTCCAATCGAAGAAGGAAGTTGATTGATTGAAGTTGCATCTGCTAGCAGCTCAGTTAACAATTCCATATTACCCAAGTGCTCCGGCAATTTCTCAAGCTGTGAGCACCCAGTAATACTCAGAGTTTCAAGTGATTTTACATCACAAATGCTTTCTGGAAGGATCTTTAGACTGCAACATCCCTCCAAATCCAAGAAAACAAGGTTCTTCAAATGTCCAATAGAGTGATGCACCTCAACTAAACTCTTGCAATCTTCAAGTATTAGTTTCTCCAAACTCTAACATTCCTAGGAAATTTGGTGTTCTTGCAAGGTACTTGGAATAGCTGAGATTGAGGATTTTCAGCTTTTTGAGATACTGTCAAAGCAGAAGAGAGTAAAATGAGAGAGAAATCATGGAAAAGAATTAAATTCCATAGGCAGAAAAAATGGTGCTTATCACATATTTTGTACCTTGGTTCCATTCCAGAGTTCTTTGACATTGTTGTACTGCATATCAAGAACAACTAGATTGTTTAGTTGAAAATTGGAACGCAAAGAATGTAAAGGACATTCATGCCAACACAACCATATCAACATTTTCGAAAGAAGTTCAAAGGACCCAGTAAGATACTACTCTGTTGATTTGGAGTAATTGTAAACATCTTAGCTCTCTAAATGATTCAGTGCTCAGAGATGCTTTGCACATCTAGGACAAGACCCTCCACAACTTTTGTTCCCTTAAAGCGAACAATAGATAAATAAATAAATTAACAAAATGTCAGACTATCAGTTTTGAAGTAGGTTCAAGCAAAAATATTTCTCAAAGAATGCATGCATGTAAGCATTTATATTAGTTCTTACCATCCGGCTGTTGAGTACATCCCATGCGTCATCATGAGACCAAATTCTGTCACGGTTTCCAGGGTTGGTACATGACATTTGATGAATAATCTCCCGTCCCACGTCTTGTAATAGATCATGCATCCGTAACTCATTCTTGAAATTAGTCCTTACGAGAGACCTTTTGATAAGACTTCTGATCCTTCTTGAAATTAGTCCTTACAAGAGACCTTTTGATAAGACTTCCAATCCTTCTTAAACTGATTTGCACATTGAAAATACGACAACGGGAATCCAGTATTGTTGCTACATATTCTTCATCTCTGCCTATAAAAAAACATGCAATTATCAAGAAACATACCCCGTAAATCAACATTCAGTGTGTCGAGACTTCTTTCAAGCTTTTTCTGCACATCATCATTTGGAAATTTTCGCAATTCATCAATTTCACTTTGCCATTCAGATTTGCTCATTTCTGAAAATTGAGCACCCAAAACTTCAAGTGCTAAAGGAAGTCTTTCGCAGTAGTCAACTACATCTTTTGAAAGCTCCTCAAAACCTTCTGCTGGATGGGTGATCCTTGAAGGCATGCCAACTGAAAAGCTGAAGAGACTCATCTGAATTCAATACTTTAGCCTCATATTTTTCATCAACTCTAAGTTGATCTAGCAAATCTTCATTTCTACTTGTAACGATTATCCTACTTCCGTTACCAAACCACTTTCGCTCTTCCACCAATTCTGTGAATTGTTTCGGTTGATCCACATCGTCAAGAACAACAAGAACTCGTTTGTGTTTAAGTAGTTCTCGAATAAGATTTTTCGCTTCATGAATATTCCATATCTTCTGAATCTTTGTTCCAAAAATATCATAAAGAAGTTGTTTTTGTAACTGAACCTGCTTTTCAGGTTTTTCTGAGTTTTCATCGACATTGAAAAGGAAACAACTTCCCTCGAATCTATGAAAGAGTTGATTGAATACAGCTTTAGCTATGGTTGTTTTACCTATCCCTGCCATCCCATGTATGCCCACAATGCGAACATCATCTGCAGGAAGACTTAGAAAGACGCTAATATCATCGACAAGAGTATCAATGCCTACTAGGTATGTAGGAATATTTAAGTTTTTGAGATCCAATCTATTCCGCACATCTTCGATAATCTTCGTGATGAATTTCGATATCATGCCTGTTCATAGATAAAATGAAGTGATCAATGATCAACATGTTCAAAGAAATTTACTTGTTACTATTATATATTGTAATTAATTTAAAGCAAATACATAAATGTTAAGTGGACTATATCAGGCATGGATGATTTCACTCATGCATTCAGGTGGATCTTAAAACAAGAGGGCATACCCATTTTCCATATCATTAAGAGCAAATCCAGATAGATTAGCAACGTCCCTCAAGAACGTTTCTCCACCAGTATACTTTCTCCTTTTCATTCTTAAACCGTTCTTCATGTACCTTTAAAGCTTCTGCAAAACTCCCTGTCTGCTTCCGAACATCAGATGGATCAATATCATAAAACAGTTGGAGAACAATCTGGCCAATAGTATCTCTGCACTCCATAATCTTTGCAAGTTCAGAAAGACACCATCTGGAGGTAAGCATAGCCTTTGGAGAAGACCACAATAGAAATCCTTGATTCCTGAATTGCCTTTTCGAGTTGTGGGGAGATTTCTTGTCCACTAGGAAGTTCATCATCATCTCGAAAGGTACGAATTCCAGATCTCTTTAAAGCCTCGTAAAGATGATCCGTAAAATTCTTCCGTTTATCTTCGCCTCTAAAACTCAGAAACACATGATAGACCCATCTATCGGAAGAGGATAAAGAAGAGGACCCAGGCTCGAAGAACATGGCAGCGATAGAGAAACACACTATTATTCAGCAAGGTTGGCTGAAGAGAGAAGAAAAACATCTGCTCTGTAAGTATAAATGTTCATGAATGGTACATAACAAATATCATAACTCATTGAGCAAATTATGCATGGCACAAAGGAATAGAAAAAGAGCTAAGAAAATTATGTGATATCTGATTTTTTTTCCCCAAACTAATTTACTTATCAAATCAACTTGAAATGATTAAAATCTATTCAAATCAAGATGGGAATCAAGCTAACAAAAAAATCAATTAACTTGCAAACAATAAAGAACGAAGCTAAATGTGATAGGCAAATTCAACAATATTCTTGTACAAAAAGAAGAGAAGGAAAAAACTTACTTACCTGAATGATGTAAACATAGACCTTAACAACAAAAGAAAGAGAAAGTTATTACTTGCAAGAAATTAATAACAACAAAAACCCTTATCCAATAGAATTATTTTCTTTGACAACTGGGCATATCATTGTGGTCATATGCACCAAAAAGAAATCAAATTAGCTTTAAAGATAAGAGAAGTAAGAGCTTATGGAATTTGTAACAACAATTAGGAATATTACCTTTGATTCCACATGGTGGATGAGGTTATCAAATTGCGGAAAATATTGCAAAGACTAGCTGAAGATCATGAGTAAAGTAAGGAGTGATGGATATTTCTGCCATGGCTAAAGGATTGCTTTCTTACAACTAAACTAATAAACAAAGTATGTAAGGAGTAATTATCAAGAACGAGACAATAAATAAATGTATAAAAAAACAATAAATTATTGCATTCACATCTATATACAAGAGTCAGTCAATGCAAGGCAGGAACGGTAAAAACACTGATAAAAGCTAATTAGTTGGAATAAAATAACACAATAGCTGAATTTACATATACCTTTGGTGGTTTCCAGGTAATGAGAGACTAACATATATAATATACATGGTTCTTTATATATAGGAGAAAGAACAAATTTCTGTCCATAGACACTACTACGCTAATTAACCTAGCTATTTATCTAATTATATATTTCTTTGTTTTTGCTCATAGTTTGATTATTGTATTAATTCTTTGAATTTTTTTTAATTGAAAGTATTGATTAAATTCATCTATGATGTAGTGGAAACTCACAAGAAAAAAAGATAAATACCATTAATATGATATTCGGATGTCGGTCTATTATAACTTGTTGATTTGCACACAAATATCGGGAAATAGGTTTCAATTCCGTTGATCCAAAGAAGGCCGACAAGTGGGAAAATTGAGATACTTTATCACAAAAGTTTATTAATCAAGCAAAAATGTCATTTTTTTTTACCTACAAATGTTACTTAAATAGTAAATTTTAGGTCAAAACCCTAAAGCAATTTGAAAAGGAAACAAATACTAAAAGTCCAAAGTAAAATAGGAAAAAAAAAAAACAAAACTTTCGTATGGACGCGAGTTACTATTTTGGCAAAATAGTAAATTATCGTTTTGAGGGCCTAAATGAAGGTTTTTTTTTTTTTTTTTTTTTTGCAAAAATCATATGTACATTATAGGCAAAGCCTATGAGTTTTGATCGTTGACCCATTTCACATCAAATTAAGTAAAAAAAAAACCTCCAAAATCGACCCAAAAATCCCAACTCTCATCACCATACCACTATCGTGCCATGAAAGAGAAAATTTGACCTCGAATTGATCGTATCATCATCGAAGAAGAGTCATCATGAAAGTGTATCAAATGCTTGACATTGAACACATCGATAGTATGAATATGACTAGGCGACTTAAGGCGATATGCATTAGGATGGATCTTCTCAACTATCTCCATAGGACCAATCTTCTTTCTTGTCAATTTGTTGTAATCTCCCACATAAAAATGGTCCTTGGTCGGGACGGCCCACACAAAGTCAATCGCTTCGAACTCGACATGACGACGCCTTTTATCAGCAACTCGCTTTGTACTTCGCATAAGATTGAGTTAAGTTGTCATGCACAATTTTGTGAATCTCCTGTAATCTTATCACAAAATCCGATGTCTTACCTTGAATCTTTATCTTGCTCGATAGTGGCATCAAATCTAAAAGCCAACGTGGAATCATAGAATACACCACACGAAAGGACTAAATCCCGTACTCGGTTAATAGCATGGTTATGAGCAAACTCATCTTGGCATAATTTACGGTTCCAACTCTTGACATGATCACCAACCAAACATCATAACAAGTTTCCTAAATACCGATTGACAACTTCGGGTTGCCAACTGCATCCGTGGATGATAAGCATCGCTAAAGTTTAACTGTGTATTCACCATCTTTCACAAACTATGCCAAAAATGACCGAGGAACCTTGTATCTCCGTCGGACACAATGGATGCAAGCGGACCATGCAAGCGATACACCTCTAAAAAATAAAGACGAGTAATATTAACAACATTTGTCATCTTCGTTGTGGGAATAAAATGAATCATCTTAGAAAAAGATCAATAACCACATAGATGGAATCATTACCTCACCTGTGTTCGGGGTAATCCCAAAACAAAATCCATACCGACATCCACCTAAGGTTGAGCAAGCATAGGCGGCGACATGTAAAGTCCGAGCATTGGTAGCGACACCGCTAGACACTTGGCAAATTCGACAATACTGCACAAACTTATCCATCTCTTTTTGAATGGTAGGCCAAAAGTATGAAGCCTGGACTAACCGCAACGTTCGTCTCGCCTTACATGACACTCCCTATGTAGCTTCATAATAATCCGCACACGCAAACTACAATCGGGAACACAAAGCCGGTTTCCCTTTAACAGGAACCCATCATGCAATAAGAATTCTATTTTCCTTGAACGAGGAACCCATCATGCAATAGGAATTCTATGTTCTCTCTTACGCGACCCTTCTCTATAATAGTAGAGAAATATGGATCAGATATCAAGCAAATCACAAAACGAATCTAAACTAGGTACCTCAACTCACATACACATTAGCAAGCAACTCCTTCTACTCAATGAATTCGCCACTCTGTTAGTTACCCCGACCTTATATTTAACCATAAAAGTAAACTGCCGTATGTAAACAACCCACCTCATATTTCGTTCGATACCTTATCTTGCTTGTGTAGATGCTTCAACTCCTCATAGTTAGTATACAATATGAATTCCTTGTGGAATAAGTAATGCCTCTAGTGTTTGATCGCTTGAACCACTGCATAAAACTCCATATCATAAGTACTATAATTAAGCCTCGCACTCGATAGTTTCTCACTTAAGTAGGCTACCGATCTATTATTTTAACTCAACACTTCCCCAATACCCAATTTTGATGCATCATTATGTAGCTCGAATGGTTGCATAAAATTTGGTAATATTAAAATCGATACGGACATCAACCGTACCTTAATCCGTCGAAATGCCTCTTCGCCTCCTCGGACCATGTAAATTTTGTTTCCTTCATTCGATCAATAATCGAGGCCATGATGCTTGCTAAAGTGAGGAATAAAGCGTCGATAAAAAAAAACCCATGGAAAATCCGAACCTCCGTAATGTTGCTAGAGTCGCGACCATTGTCTCACCATCTTGACTTTGGACCCATTTTCTTGCAATCCATCTCCCAAAATGATGTAACCCGTAAATAGTACCTTAGGTTCCATGAACACATATATTTTCACTATCGCATAAAATTTATCTCGATGAAGTATCGTCAAAGCCTCTCTCAAATGTTGAACATGGACTTTCGGATCGGCACTATAAATCGAATATCATCAAAATAAACAACAATAAATTTATCGATAAATGGCCTCGAGACTCGATTCATGACACATATAAAAGTGTTTGGCGCGTTTGATAACCCAAATGGTATGACTAACCATTTATACAGCCCCTCGCATGTCTTAAAGGCTTTCTTCCACTCATCTTTAGGCTTAATGCGTATCCGAAGATATCCACTCTTCAAATCCGAGTTTTATAAAGACTATTGCCCTACCGATCCGATCAAGCAAGTCATCCAATTATGGAATGGAGAACTCGTATCAAATTATAATCTTATTAATGGCACGACTATCAACACACATGCGTCAAGAACCATCCTTCTTTGGCGTCAACAAAGCGAGTGCAACATAAAGATTCAAGCTCTCTCGCACATGCCCTTTGGCAAACGACTCTTCAACTTGTCTCCTCAACTTTTCATGCTCACTAGGATTCATCCCGAAATGTGGTCTATTAGGTAGCACCGCTCCGGGCTCTAGATCAACATGGTGCCTGGATATCTTGTAATGGGGGTAATTCGTCAAGCAACTCTTCTAGAAACACATTACGAAATTCTACCACAAGAGGGGCTACTCGTCTCCGGCATTACTCGCCTCGGTTCGAATTCCCTCCTTATCAACACATAAATCACTCGAATCCCGTACCTCTTCCTCAAATCGAGCCAACGACACCAACTTACTATTATCTCCTACGAGCTTGAGAAAAACCAGATTCTTCCTAGGCATGAGCATAATTTTAACCACATTAAATAAGAACCTATAAGTATTAGATCGTCCCCTATGGTTTACATTCCTATGATACTGTAATGGTCTACCCAACAACAAATGACATGTATCTATGACAACCACATCACACCACACATCATCCTTATATTTGGAACCAATAGAGAATGACATTAAAGCAAGCTTAGAAACAGCTTATCTCACCTCCTTTTTAAGGCAAGCCAACTTGTAAGGCCTCGGATGTCCCTTTGTTTTTAGGTTCAACTTTCGCACCGTCTCATCGGACACAATATTCTTATAGCTACTCGCATTAATAACAAAGCAAAATACCTTACCCTAATTGGTGGAGGTGGACTGAAAGATGTTACTCCTTAGTCGATCATCCTTAGTGACCACTAGGAGTTAAGCAAGACCTTATTGCAACCGAGTGTCGTCCCCTCATCTCCTATAACAATCTCCTCCTCCGAGGCATCTTTATTTTCATAGACGAGGCTCACTTGCCAACTCATCATCGGCTTCATCAT